TTTTTTGAGTGTTTGGCTCCTCCTCAAGATATTTTGTCAAAGTCAAAACTCTAAGCTGATTAGCATCAAGTTAAATGGTAATTTCAAGAAAATAATTTGTTCAGTCAGCAAAAGTATGATCTAAAATTTACACATGAGAAGCTGTTGGTTTGACATACTACCAATCTGAAAAACTGGATTCAAAAACTGAGGATGAGATTCTTCAGTGAAAGGTAAGAAAGTCATACAATCCCCACAACAGAACACAGGAATTTTTATGAAATACCCATTTTTAAAATTTTTGACCGATGACTCAGATTTACAAACAATATCACCCATGGAGGATAATAGGCTGAGCACAGGTCACTACAATACCGGGGCAGAATCTGGTAGATGACCTGAGAGTTTCTGAAAGTTTATTCATTGCTCTTTGTTGTTCATACCTTAATAAGACAGAATATTTAATTAAAGATTTAAACAACAACATATATATCTGTATCTATCTATCTATCTATCTATCTATCTATCATCTATTTTATATGGTGGATTGATTCAGATCCCTGCACTGGAAGACAGAGTTATTGAAGACCAGTTACTGAAAGTTACTATTATGCTTGAGACTGGGTTCTCCTTCTTATATAACATATGATCACTGTTAAGTTCTCACTCAAAACCTCACTGCCATTGAGTCAATCTCGACTCATAAGAACCCCTCCTTGGGTTTCTGAGGCAGTATCTCTACAGAAGTAGATTGCTCAATCTTCCTTCTGAGGAGTGGCTGGTGGGTTTGAATGGCCAGCCTTCTGGTTAGCAGTCAAATGCCTTAGGCTTTAGGCCACCAGAGCTTGTTAATCCCTCAAAAATATTTTTAAGAAGTATTGTCCAGGTTTATTATTATTATTGATTTCTGACTTATTTCTACTGTGGTGGACAACTTAGTCTGAACAATTTAAATTACTTGAAATTAATTTTGTTTGTTTTATGACCAGTATATGTTTCATGTTAGTAATATTTTATGTACACTTAAAAACAATGCTTATCTGGAGGGAAAAAAAAAGGGGGGGGAACCAAGTTTGCTGGTCTGATAGAGCCTGGTGGAACCACTGAGACTATGGCCCCTAACTGCCCTTCAGGTCTGGAATTGAACCACACCTGTGGTTTCCAGCCAAACAGAAGACAGGCATATGAGTTGAACACTTACTTGAGGTAGATACACTCCTTGGAGAGAACAATCATGAGAGAAAGAAGGGTTGCTTATGCACAGGGATACAGCTCAGGGGGCAGGAGTGCATGGAGGGATGGACACTGGGACGAGGTAACTATCAGGAGGAAGTGGGAGGGGAGCTGTTGCATTGTGGTAAACTGTGGTCAATGTCTTGAGACAAAGTATTTGTGAAATGCTGTATGGAAAGTGAATTTGCTTTGTAAATTTTCACCCAGATCACAATAAAATAAATAATAGTAAAAACAATGCTTATCTTAAAATTGTTGGGTACTGTGATTCCTTTATGTTCATTTGATCAATTTAGTTCATTGTGTTTTTCAGAATGCCTGCATTAATTCTGATATTTTGTATCCTGCATTTACCTACTGACTTCAAGACTACCATGGTTGTGATATCCTGGCTAACTGACGAAGTGATCACTAAAAAATGTCTTGCTTTATTTCAGAAAATATTGTATCAAAACATCAGCTTTGTCTGTGCTTAATAAAGCAGAAGTAGGTTTTGTTTATTTCTTTAGCTCACTGTATATCTCTTTTGTTTTCTTTTCTATTCCTTCATACTTAAGAACTCTTCTTAAGTAAAAAATAGTAATAATCTTCATTCCAGTCTGACATTCTAAGACTCTTATTTAGTTGTTGTTGTTATGTGCCGTCAAGTGGGACCAGACTCATAGCAACCCCTTCTTGGGTTTCCGAGGCAGTATCACTATGGAAGTAGATTGCCCCATCTTCCTTCCCAGTACCTCTTTTATATTAATTTGATTTTTGATATATTTTCATTTCTATCCACGTAAAACTTTGTTGCTATTTAATCATAGTCTATGTTCCTCCCCACCCCCCCGCTTTTTTTTAGGTGAAGCAGGAAGGATTAACAAAAAGGCTGTACTACAATTTTTCCCTTTCAAAAGAAACTTTGTTAGCTATTTCTTAAGAGAGCTTAATATGTTGTCTTGATTTAATATTATTTAATTCCTCTTGTATTATAGAAATTTCAAGCCATTTCTATTAGTATGGTGTGCAATATAGTTCACTTTTGTTTTAGTTATCTTTATTCCCACCTACAATTCTGAATTTCCCTCTAAGAATATACTCCTTCAACTACAGGAATTCCTTTAGAAATTATTTGATGATACTAAAAGAAAGATAAAGGAAAATATGTATCTATGTATTCCATGTTTTACAATGGAAAAGTAATCTTTTAGAACTGTATGAGAAAAGATGGATGCTTCAAAATGAGGGAGAAAATGTGAGAGAGACCTGATTACAAAAATACCCAGAAAAAGCTCTCCCTATAAGGGCTGTTTTAGGGGAACAAGATGGAACAAATTGTAAAACATGTAATAAAGTCATATATATATATATATATATATATATATATATATATAAAGAAAATTAAAGACACAAAGAAATGATTAGTAGAAAGGACTAAGGTACCATGCAAAGCCCAGCCTCCACAACTCTGAGACCAGAACTAGATGGTATTCAGCTACTATATATATAGTATATGTATAGTATATACACACACGCACACAAACACACATATGCATATATAGGGTTCTGGTGGCATAGTGCCTAAGGCATTTGACTGCTAACCACAAGGCTGGTGATTCACACCCACCAGCCACTCTGCAGAAGGAAAATTGGACAAGCTATTTCTATAATGATTTACTGCTTTGGAACTCAAAGGGGGTCACTGTAAGTCAGAATCAACTTGATGGCAGTAAGTTTCATCTTTATTTTATTTTATTTTGATGTGTGTGTGTGTGTGTATATGAAAAGTCAAAATTTTTATTTGAAAGTCACATATACGGAAAAACTCATAGACTATCAATGGGGCTACTAGTTTCTTCCTCTCCATTCAAGAGAGTGACTCTGAGTCATTTCACATTTGTACATATTGATCTCCACTCTGAATCTGTTTCAAAATAATCTCCTTATACTAAGAGGAGCACAAGATTAAAGGCAACAAAGGTAAAAACTATTGCGTAAACCATTCTGCAGTAACAGTAATAACAACACTATATAAGTGGATATAAAAATAGTCAGGCAGGGTGAATAGAGTGGGTAGGAGAATGGGACTATACTCGTGAATATATATTGTTTTGACAGAGGGTATTTCTACATATGTATTTATATGTGGTGCAAATATATTCATGAATACATTAGAGCATGCATAATGCAAAGTTATAAACTTTTTAACCACAAGCAAATAACTCGAGGGAGTGAGTCACTGGGTCCGGGGACTCAGGAGTATAGTTTCTGGAAACATCAATGACATCTGGCATGAAATAGTTCACAAAAACAAGAGTCTACATCCAACTTTGGTGAGTAGCAACTAGGATCATAAAAGCTTGTGAATTTTGATCTAAAGTGCAACTATTGTTCAGAATACAGAAGAGTGAAGAAAATTAAAGACACAGATAAATGATTAGTCCACATGACTAATGGATTATGCAAACCCCATTCTTCAAGACTATAAGACTAGAACTAGATGATATTCAGCTACCACTACAGGCAGCTCTGAAAGGGATTATAATAGAAGATTCCAGATAGAACTGGAGCAAAACTCAAAAAGTGGAATAAAACTCAAAATCGCAAAATAAGGCCAGATTTTCTGGATTTGTTAGAGACCAATGGAACCCCCAAGACTATTTAGTCATCTAAAGCTTCAAAGCAATCTCACCTCAATGTCTCAATTTTCAACTAGTCAACAAACAGGCCCACAAGATGGGCATATACACTAGAGAAGTATGCACTCCTTAGAATAGTCAGCCATACAAGATCAAAAAAGAAAAAAAAAGCAGCTATTGCCCAGGGATAAAGATCAGAAGGCAGGAAGGGATAGGTTAAAAAATTTCACACACACACACACACACA